AGTGTGAGTTACCCATATTATCCACCACAGATGTGAAACTGGAGAGGGAGGTTGGAAGATAATGGAGATCAAACAGCCACCAATTTGAAGACAACAACCAACCTGCCCTTTCACCTGCACCAGATGTAACTTCTCCAAAATCTCTGCCTGCAATTGGTCTCTGGATGACAGGCAGCTGCCCAAACCCGAGTCCTGCCAGCACCTCTGAGTGCCACCCAGGTGCTGTGTCTGATGGCTCCTGTGTCTGTTTTCAGATGCAAGCCAGCTTCACTTCACCTGGCAGCACTCTTTCAAAGCCCATTTAGAAATGAATGTCTAGAGAGATTTTTACTTCAAAGCCATAATGCTTATGTGTCAAATTTAATAGCTTCCCAAATATTTCACAACCCACTTTGGTTTGTAAGTCCTGTGCTTGGACCACAGCAGTTCAAATGGAAAACCATTATATGTATTTTCCTCTGTCGCTGGATAATTTAAAATCATAACCAGTCACTTAGGGATCAAATTGAAAAATAACATTTTCCTTCTGATCCAGTTGAAGAAAAGATTACAGTATAATTCTGCTCTGTCCTACCAAGCTGGAAGGTGTCTTTGGATTTCAGTTAAAAGATCACGTGTGAAACACTCCCTAGAGATGGCATCATCTGTACTGTATGAGATTCCTTCAAGTTCTCAGGCCTACAAGTCCAGCTACAAATCCCACCACAGGGGGAATGCCAAGAAAGAGGAACAATGTGCAATTTAAAATAGGCCACAGAAAACATCTTGTGCTTACATCATCTCATCCCTTCTGTGTGTACGTTACGGACCAGCAGGATGGGTGTAAATAGCTCTGAAATGTGAAAGTCGATTTGCAAGTATTATATTGATTCTGTCTAATAGGAAAAAATACTGTATAGTGCAAACAATAAAACAAGATGTTATTACAGTGGGAGCAGATACTGACCTCTGCTTGTGCTTTCCAGCATTTTCATTACAGGACCCCTGTTCCTTTTTCATTTCTCTATTTGTTTATTTGTTCGCTTGTTCGCAGGATTATTTTTTTAAATTTTTTTTTTTTTATTAAGACCCTCACCATTTTCAACAGATCCTGTGAAGCCTGGGAGAACCACCAGAATTGTCATGTGCCTTTTTCCCCTTTTTCTTTAGTCCTACTAAATTTTGCTCAGCTTTTTAAAATATTTTATAATCCATCTGTTTTCTGTCCCTCATCTACATTCTGCAGGACAATGCTGACAGCCTGCCAAACCATTTTGGCACAGACAACTGTAGGGCTGGGATTTGTGGCCACTTATGAGTGTTTTTAAGGGTTGAGTCTCTGGTCCTTTGCTTGTCTGAGCATTTTCCTTTTCTGTTAATTGAAAGAGGTATGAAAACACTCACAAATCTATCACCCATCACCCAAGTCAAGAAGCCACCTCATTAAGTAAAATAGTTTTGGATACATCCTAGCTATGAAAGGCTTGTGCATCAGAAATTTCATTTCCAGTCTAACAAAAGGAATCTCTTCCTGCTGAGCTGCTTCTTCACATAGCTGGAAGCCACACTGACTTCTCTGAGAGGATAAGAGCACAGACGTAGGCAGCAAGATAAGGTGAGGCTCACAACAACATGCACCCAGCAGCATCCTGAGCTGGGATCCAGCCACCTGGGAGGTGCAGTGATCACAGAAAGCGTTGTTTTGAAAGTATGCGCAGTGCAATCATTTCTAGCTTTCACAGAGCCCCCAGGGATATTTCCCATGATAGCCACTTAGGATTTTCTCCAGACATATTTGAAGAGGTAATACTCACCTATACTATTAAAAATGTTTCTCTGAGCAACCATGAAAATGAAATTCTCTTGCAGCGTCCATTTCCACTTCTCTCTTGAGGACTGAATTTCTTGGTTATGTGTTGTAATGTAAGATTCATAATGCTGCCCTGAGCAAAGTTTGGAATTGTAGATTTTGAAAAGGAGTTTTTTAACTACAATAATGGTGGGGAGCATTTGTTTAGGGGATTTTACTGTTGTTTTTGCTTGATCTGTAGTGATTCTGCCAGCATGGGAATGTAAGGGGAAAGTGGAGAGTCACATATACTACAGGGAAATTTCTGTTTAAACATATGTACCTGCATTGTCATAAAACCCATTTTTTTTTGTGGTGTGAGCACACCTTAGATAATTTCAGGGTATCTTTCTCTCACCCCTTTCCCACCCCACCCCAATAACTGCAGATGCCTGGTCTACGTGTGCTCAGGTGATTTCTGTCAGTACCTCATCAGACACAGATTCAATTCAGCAAGAGTGTCATGGAGTCACAGACAAGAGGAAACTCAACGTTATGAGACTTTCTTCTCGTCTTGCAGCAGTCTAAAGAGGCATTTTTAAGGGAAGAAAACCGGAATGCATTTATGCCTGTCCTTGGGGTCCACAACTGACTAAAGTAGTTAAAACTCAATTTTCTGCTGCTCTGTTTGAAAAATGAAATCTTTTCTTCTAATTATTTGGGTGTTTAGTTATTCATTGCTCGACTTTCCATGGGCCTTTTAAAACTGAAATGAAGTTTTCAGTACTGGGAGGAGGCTGCTCGTTAGGGGAGCAAATCCAATATTGCAACAAACCACGAGTATTGATTTGATCCTGAATTGATGTTTCCTTTTAAAAACTCTAAATCCCCCGTTTGGTGGTTTTGTTCTTTTGTTTTCCTCTCGATAGAAATCAAATTGGGAATGTGAAAACCACAGCCCCAAAACGAAACACCCCACCTCTGAAAGCTATCTGTTTCCTTCCCGATACAGAAATGCGAGCGCCGCGATTGAGAGCTGTTCCGAGGACGGCTGTCCCCGCTGAGGTCGGTGTTTGTGCCGCGCAGTGAGGCCGGGCAGCAGCGGGTGGAGGTCCCATTGCCCGACTCCCAGCGCATCGCCCCGCTGAGCAAGCCCAAGAAATCTGCGCTCCCTCCCAGCTGTTCCCCATCCCGCTCCCGGCCCTGGCCAGCCCCACGGATAAGAGACAGCTCGGCGAGCTCCGGGTGGGCTCTCGGCGGCCTGCATTGTATCTGCATGCAGGTACAATGCCCGAGCTATGCCCGAAAATGTGGGGACAAGGAGGCGCGCTAAGCGGCGGCCACGCTTTTGCAGCCCGGGTGGTTTCCGGGGAGGTGTGAAATAAAAGGTGCGAAACGCGGCTTCGCGGGAGGCTACGGGGCTCGACGGAGGAGGCAGGGAGAGGAGCGAGCCCCGATGACGCCCCGCATCTCGCCCCTGATTCCCGGAGGCCCCGGCGAGCCTCAGCCCCCCGTCCCCCGTCCCGGCTCCGCAGAAGCGTAGGTCGCCGATCGCCGCCGGCACTCAGAGAGCACCCAGAACGCACGTGGGTAGAAGTGATCAAAGAGCACAGAAGATCAAAGATCACTTTAATTGCGAAAATGAGGTCAAATGAGATTTTCAGAAAGTCAGTGTATCTCTGAGGATGTTAAGAGCACTATTGCCATTTAATGTAAGCGGCTAAAGTTCGGAAACGAGTGGACACTTACATTCACGTGACGCGCAGATGTAACATTCCCTTTTACCTAAGTTAACATGGACTACACCAAACTAAACAGGAATATATCTATATATATATTTGGTCAAGCATTCCGTTCAGGCGGTCCTTCACAGCGGTGCGCGCAGGGCTCGGAGCCGCCCGGTCCGGCCCGAGAGCTCCCGGCCGTGCCCATGGGAAGGCAGGGATACAGCGGCGGGGCACGGCGGGGCGGGCCGGGGGCTGTCCTGCCACCACCCCGGGCGAGGCGGGGATGGTGAGCACCCCGAGGAGAAGCAGCGGGGTTATCGGCAGAGGGGCACCCTCTGCGGGGAGGTTGCAGAGCGGGGAGAAGCTGGGTCGGGGCTCACCTGCGCGGCTGCCCCTGCCCTTTGCATCGCGATGGCACTGAGTTCTTTTGGCTGCGACTCTAATTTTGGGAGATGGTCGCTCTTACTCTAGCCGGGACTGGCCCTGGGGAGAGGAGAGCCGCCCCTTTCCAGGGAGATTTCGCATTCGCCACCTGCGGCCGTCGCTGGGATGCTCCCAGCTCCTCCCCTGCTGTCAGGAGCACATGGTAATATTTTGGTTGATCGGTTTGGTTCCTTCTGTTGTGCTCTGTTTGTTTATCCCCCACCAACACATGCAACTGCAACGTCTCCCGAGAAACTTTCAAGCGGTTCCAAAAGAGACCAAACCTAAAAGATCCTCCACTCCGCGGCTGCTCCATCTCCCTGTGCTGCTCTCGGTGAGCTCGGGGACGGCCGCACGGAGCCCAGCTTTTCAAAGGCATTTTTAAAATAGTACATATCTCCATGTAATGCGTGGGTAACTGCCCTTCCCTCCCCGCCGTGTAACAAGGGAAGCCCCATGAAGTGAAAGGTCCGAACAGAGCAGGAGAGCTGCTACACACACGTAAGGCAGAGGGGATGGCTCTGGAAGTACCTGGCGAGGTTAGACACGGCAGCCGCGCTTCCTCCCGGTAAATCCGCTCGGCCGTTCCAAGCCCAAAGCCCCTTCCTCCGGTCGGGGAGCAGCTGTCCGTCCCCGCACTTACAGCGCCGGAGCGGGTGCGGGTTCGGAGCCCCCCCCCCGCCTCCTCTGAAATCCAAGAAATATCCCCAATGCGGCGGTTTTCTGCATAGGGTGATTTATTTTTACCGCTGCTACTCGGGCAGACAGCGTGGTTTACAGCGACCACAAGCAACCAACGACCTGCAAACCCGACGTCTGCCCTGGATGACGGAGGAGGCGGGAGGCGGCAGCGCAGCCCCGGGGAGGAGAGGCGGGGGCAGCCGCCACCCGGCGCTGCGCTGCTCCAGCGGAGCTCCGCGCTGCCCCGCGCTGCTCTCCCCGCGGCTGGTCCGACCGACAGGGAGCGAGCGGGGAGGGGATGCCGGTGCCCCGCTGGAGAGGGGCTGAGCGGGGGGCACGCTGCGGCGGGGGGGCGGGCGGGATGGTGCCGGGGCGGGAGCCCCGTCCCGGAGCGGCGGGCTTCACTGTCGGCAAAATTTGCACTTGATAATTTTCTTAAAAGCACTTTGGAAGTCTTTGTTGAAATAGGCATAGATGATGGGGTTAAGGAGGGAGTTGGAATAGCCCAGCCAGTTGATGACTGCCCCCAGCCACTCGGGCATGTAGCACTTACTGTCACAAAAGGGCAGGACCAACGCCACGATGAAGAACGGCAGCCAGCAGAGAATGAAGGTGCCCATAATGATGCCCAGGGTCTTGACAGTCTTCCTCTCCCGGGACAGAGCCATCCTCCGCTTGGCTTCCGTGTTCTTCTCGTTGCGCCTCTCGAAGGAGGGGGGCGGCGGGGAGCCGCACGCTTCGCTGGGCAGCGGCAGGTGAGTCTTGGAGGAGCTGCTGCAGCGCTGGACCTCTATGACCTCCAGGGCCGCCCCGTCCTCACCCTGTCGCACCGCGCCGTTGACACAGGCACCGCTCCGGGGCTCCACAGTCCGTCGCCAGCCCTTGCCGGGCTCCCCGTTGCTTTTCTTCTGCAGGGCGGCCGGGGAGAGGGTGAGGCATGTGTCGGCGATTTTCTTCTTCTCCGCTTTCTTGACTGTCTTGCGGATCCTGAAGCGGGCTGCCTTGAAGATGCGGCCGTAGAGCACCAGCATGAGGAGCAGCGGGATGTAGAAGGCGCCGAAGGTGGAGTAGATGGTGTACCCGTGGTCCTTGCTAATGGTGCAGGCGTCGGGGTTTGAGCGGTCCTCGGGCGTTCTCCAGCCCAGCATGGGCGGGATGGATATCAAGAAGCCGATGAGCCAGGTCAGGCTGATGAGTACGGCGGCCCGGCGGGGAGTCCGCTTGTTGACATAGTCGATGGGGTCCGTGATGGCCCAGTACCTGTCCAAGGCGATGGCGCACAGGTGCAGGATGGAAGAGGTGCAGCACAGCACGTCCAGCGAGATGAAGATATCGCAGATGACCTGCCCCAGAGTCCACTTGTTCAGCACCTGGTAAAGGGCCGCCATGGGCAGCACCAGCACGGACACCATGAGGTCGGTGACGGCCAGCGAGCCGATGAGATAGTTGGCCACGGTTTGCAGGGAGCGCTCCAGGGCGATGGCCGCGATCACGCAGGCATTGCCGCTCACGGCGCACAGGATGAGCGTGCCCAGGAGCAGGGAGGTGAGCAGCTGGTAGCCCAGGGTCACCTCAGCGAGGCCGTGGCCACTTTCTCCCTCGGGAGAGCGTTCAGGGGAGGTAGTGTTGTTGGCCACATCCATGCCGGGGCGGGGGAGGTCGCTTCAGGAGACGGGCATGGGAAGAGGCGACGGTCACTTGTGCGCTCCCCTGGCAGGAGGCATTGCCGCTTTGGCCATGCCGGGCCCCCCCCGCCACCCCTCCCACCCCTATATAGAGCGGCGGGAGGCGGCCGAGGCTCGGAGGACGGCGGCTGGCGGAGCCGCCCCGCGCCCGCCCATCCTCGCCGCCTCTGCCCAGCGCGCAGCCCGGGGGGGGGGGGCCCTTCGCTGCTCGCTGTGCTGCTGCCCTCGCTCCGCTGCTCTCCCGCACCGCTCCTTCCTTCTTTGCCTCTCCTCTCTCCCCTTGCTTTCTCCCTCCCTCTCTCCTTCCCCTCCCCTTCCGTCCTCTCCCTCCATCCCGCCCTTTCGCGGGAGGGCTCTCCCTGGGTATCATCGGTCCTCGGCGCTGCCGGCAGTCCGAGCGGGCGGGGTGTCCGCGGCTACCAGCGCCCCCTCCCAGTGGAGGGAATGGCGAAGACACCCACCACACCCCCCTAAATCTGCCTCCAAATCCCCGTCCCGGCAGCACCATCCCGGGCAGTGGGGGACTCAAGGCTTCCCCTCGGGACCGGCACCGGTTGCCGGCACAGAGCGTGCGAGGCGTGGGTCTGTCTCTCTGCGGCCAGGTACTGCCTCCCGGGCTGGGGGCACAGCGCACCCAGCATTGCCCGCTCACTCGGGGGTGCCGGGGCGCCTTGGAGGCGCTTATCGCCATCTGCAGGCGGGCGGCGGCGGCCCCGGGGTGCTAAGTCCGCGGGCGGCTCTGCTGGACTCTCGCGGCCGCGGGTCCACCCGCACTTTTTGAGGGGCTGCACCCGAGACCCCGTACGGGACTGCATTCTCGCCCCCTACCCGGCCGCAGCCGGCACTATGCTGCTGGGGTTATCCGGGGAGCAACAGCAAGCTTGTCGCTGAGTCAGCTTGCCGCCGCAGGTGCGGGGTGAGAGAGTACGGGCAGCAGCGTTGCATGGTGTCTCTGGAGAGTTTGCTTTAGAATCCAGTGCCGGGCAAGGCTCCTACTCAGTCGCTTACGAGCGCGGTAGCAGTGAAAGTCCCATTCGTGATGATTCATGCCATCGCCCCAACGTCCTGCTGCGGTTGCCTGTCGTCGGGGGCTCCGCGCCGGCGTGCGACTCCGCGTGTCCGTCCAAAGAGAAATACAACACTGCCCGGCCTCCCTTCCCGGGGCGGCCGAGGCGGAAATTACAGTGCAACACGCTATTGAAATCACTATCCTGTGAAGAAAAAAAAACAACAACAAATTGCATTGCAGTTCCTCCTGATAGGAAGGGGAAATGCTGAGACTGAAAGTGAAATGAGAAAAATATCTTTGGGAACGATCTTGAATTTTTTTAAAAGCTTCAGATTGACACATCGTAGACAAATCTGCTATTGACTGGTATATAAACTAAACAACCCTTCTCCTGGGAAACATTTGTCACTTAAAGAAAAAGAAAAACATAGAGGCAAACAAATAAAACGAGTAATGGGATTGACAGACTTTACCTATTCGCTACAGGTAAAAGAAAGTTCTTGGACTTGCACGGCAGGCTTTCCAAAGTCCTGTTGCTCAGTATTTTTAACGATGTGAGAACAACTCTCTAGTCTGTAATTGTGCCATGTGAGCTCCGAAAGCTCAGAAAGCCAAGTAATTGCTTGCAGTAAGATTTTGCCAGATTTGAACTTAATCAGAGTTAAGATGAGTACCACAGAGCCTGGCTTGCATGCACTCAGGTTTCCTCATCTTCTCTGTCAGCACTTAAAAATAAGGCTGAGTTCGTAACTTCACAAAATGTGGATGTATTTCGGCCAGTCCTTTTTCTGAACGGACGAGGCTCCATTTCTTTGCCTCTTAAATGGCAATCTATAAAAAATCAAGGCACAGAGATACAGGGTAAGTGTGGATATGCAGAACCGATCAGTACCTCTGCCTTTCCGTGGCGTTAGCTGACCCTGCCAACATTACTTGTGTCTGATTGAATGAACACTTAACACTTTCGAGACGCAGATAAGATAATATTCGCTGGTAAACTGAAATATAAGTATGTTTTGCTCCTTCACAACCAAAATCTACTTCATTCTAAATGTCTCCTCAGATGCACAGCACGCTCGGCTGGATGTTTACAGACTTTCCCTTCGGTGAAATGAAAGTTGAGACTTCTGGCTGCTCAGAGCCAGCCTGATAAAAAGAAAGTGCATTTCTGGGAGGCAGGAGAGATCGTCCCAGCTTTCTTGCATGGTGGTGGGCAAGTCATTAGCCTAATTAGATTAGCCTGAATTTGTTTCAGAGCCACGGGGGATGCGGGTTTTAGAAATCCACGAAGGGTTCTCGGGGAAAATGTTTTCAGAGATGTTTTGCACCGATACGGCCGAGGGAAGTAAATCTCGGACACTTCACGCCTATATGTTCTAATGGGGAAAAGTTGATAGGGTCCTTTTCCAAATGAAATCTCTTAAGTCGGCTTTAGTTTTCGGATTTATTTTTTGTTCAGAGACTGAAAGCCATTTCGCCCTGAATTAAACTGCGAGGCAATTTAGGCAACCATGGAAGATGGGGAGGGAGTAGGAGGTGGGAGATTTACATGAAGGGAAAGCTCACTTTTGTGATGCGATAGCGCCTTTAATCCTACTAAGCATTTAAACAGCAAAATGCTGTTTAAATTTTCAAACAACTTAATGAGGTGCTAATGTGTTTAGACAACCTGTGTGAAGTACCTAGGGAAATTCTTTAAGGAAAGCCATAACCTCATAAAATCCGTGCCAGCTTGAGAGCAAATGAAACCGTAACACTGCACAGCCTTGAAAAGACCATTCGAAATATTAATGTTACTCATTTATGACACAACTGCAGAAAACAAGAGGTAAATAAAATAGAAAAAGTGTTAACAACACTGATAGAAGTTGCTTTTATAGAAGTGAGCAATTTCGATTTACACCTTTCAGAAAAAAGAGAGAGCTACCTACTCGTCTTCTGATCACGACTCTATTATTTACTTTTTAATGAGAAACTAAAATGCTGCAATTTGATCATGCTGTGTTGTTCATGGGATTGCTTACAATACTTTATTCTGAAAAGTATTTTGGCTTTGTCTATTTACCATTCACTAGGATAAGATACAGCTTTTGTGTTGTACCAGCAAATATATTTAAGTAATGATTATAGAATGAATGAGCTTCACGAGGGAGCTAAGGAAATTAATGTTCCCTGAAAGGGATCCAGTATGTGCAGTTTTCTATGGGAGAAGTTCCAAACAGGTGGAAGAGAAAGTGTGCCAGGAGACAATCTACTTGAATTTTCTGATTAGACTTCTTGGAAATGCAGCCGACAGGAATTAGCACTATTTCTCCTTGCTCAAAACCTTTTGAAAAACAGCTACAACTTTAAAATACAGAAAAGCCAATGGGAATTTCATGTCTGGAGTGACAATGTAATTGAAACATGACCTCTCCTCAAAGGCATATGCATTTCACTGTGAGAGATTCACTTGAGAGATAGTTGCTTCATGTTTCCCACCTTTCATAAACCTCAAATTCATCACAATGCTTTCTCAAAATAAAGCTTTACCCTGTTAAAGGCCAAGATCTACAAGGAGAATGCAGAAGAGTTGAAGGCCATTTCTAGTATTGCAGTCGCATAGCTTTCAGCTAAACTAGTCCAGAGCGAAACAAGTCTGAATTTTGCAGTCTGCTTACTTCTGGCTTTGTGGGAAAGATGAACCAGCCAGGAACCAAAATAATGTTCAGTACCAGTATCAGAATCATTTCTTCTGTCTTCTTCATAGCTAATAAATAAATCTTTTTTGAATCCTACAAGCAGTCTGTGCAGAAACAACAGGCTACAAATTGAGCACTGCAGCAGAAATAAAGGAATCCTAAACTTCTGACTTCTGGATCACCTTTGTGCTATGTCTGTATATTTTCACTAAATTTACCAGGTTCCATCTTTGAATGGTTATTGATTCTCCTCCTCTATTTTCACATGGTTATCCAAAAACTTGTCTACTAGTTAGAAGTCTTTTCATTGATAATGTAACTCCTAGCATCTCTACACCGCTCTCCTTTTCAAATTTACACTGTTGTTTCTACAACTTTGGTCTATGTTTTGAATCACAATTGGCACTAGGCAGATGCAAAGCTGAGTTAAGCCACTTGGCTGATTCTAAATTGCCTTTATGAAGAAATTCTTAACTCAGAGGACAGTGGGGCACCAGCACACACTGGCCAGAGAAGCTGCCCCATCCCTGGAGATGTTCAAGGCCAGGCTGGATGAGGCTGCGGGCAACCTGAGCTGCTGGAAAGTGGCCATGCCCATAGCAGAGGGATTGGGATTGGATGTTCTATAGAATCCTTTCCAACTAAAAGCATTCTGTGATTCTACAGTTCTGCAGAGGCCACCTTCAGAAATGTCGAAGTTCGTTGGCTACTTCTCTGTGCAGTCCTGTCCAGCCAAGCCAGCTCAGAGATGGCTTGATATGTCCCAGCAGGAGCTGTGCAGTGCCCAGATATTCCAGTAGCTCTGCAAGAACCAGCTTGGGTCTAACAGAGGTAACAGCCCCAGCACAGCACTCAGTTTAAGATCTGTATTAGGTCCTGCAAGATACTGTGGTGTCTCTCATCCTACTCCATAATGCTCTCAGTTATGCAAACAGAAGAGTATAATCCAACTTCAGACCTGGCAAGATCTGCCAGATCTGATGCCAGTCATGCAAAAGCAGTCATGCTGCTTCATGGTTTTAACAGGCCTTTCAACAAGTTGTCTGCTCATGCAGCCTCTGGTATCTCTGCACTGAACCCAGTCCAACTTCTGTTCCTCTTCATTTTGGGTTTTTTGTTTTGGTTTGTTTTGGTTTGTTTTTTTGTTTTGTTTTGGTTTGTTTTTTGTTTGTTTGTTTGTTTTGTGTGTGGCTTGGTTTTTTGTTTGTTTGTTTGTTTTGTTTTGTTGTTGTTGTTTTTGTTGTGTCTATCTAGTAACTCAGAAGGAT